TGTCAACATCCTCAAGAATTAATGTGGTAGCTTTAGGGACGCTTTGAGAGGAGTAGGTTTGGTAAATAACCTGGGGAGGAGGCCTTGAAAGGCTGACAGTGACACTAGCAGGTGATGCAGGAAGTTCTTTGGTCTTTTGTGTTGTCATTAAGTCAAAATCTCCTTGGGGTAGATCAGTGGTTTTTCCTTGGAGCTTGTGTTAGGTCCTGGCTCTTTCTGGGTCCCTTGATCCTGCCTTAGATGTATCTCAGAGATTTTGGGTACTTGAGCCATTAATTCTTATTGCTTGGCTTAGTTTATTACTTGGAGTAAAACTGGCAGGGAAAGGTTTGGGGAACTGGTGTGATTGTAAAAGATTGAGGAAAATAGGCAAGTCTGGGGAAGGAGAAGCCCCTAAGCATTAAGGGGAATTAGAAGAGCCAAAGCAACAAAGCAGTTGTCAAATGAAAAGAAAGAAAAAGAAGCTGAGGGTGTAACTGAGAGGTTAACAGAGAGCTGGTGGGTCTGTTGTGTCAGAGCTTCCCAGGATCTGCTTTGTGTCAGGGATATTGCAGAGCTGCATGGGACCAGCTTTTCCCTGGCAGCAGAAGCGAGGCAGCGCAGAAGGACAGTGTTGGAAGAGAAGATTTCCAGGCTAACCTGACAGTTTTGCAGTGAAATGTCAGCCAGGACGGGTGGTGCAGCCCTGGCTCTGGGGTGGGACACGGAGGTGTCAGCACAGTCTGTGAAGATTTGACAGGAGTTGCCTTTGTGGTGCTTAGGTGCTGCCTGCTGAGATGGGGAGTTGTGTGCTTGCAAACCTGACCCAGGGCTGGGGAAGTGTGCCATCAGGCCTTTTGGGGCACTTGTAAAGTGAAATAGAAGGACTCAGACACAGTTGCTGGAAGAGAAAATCAGCTTCAGCACTTCTGTCCTCAGAAATTCAGTGTTCTCTGCAGCTTACCTGTAATTAAACATAGTGTTCAATTAAATGTATACATCCAAATTTGTTTTGAAGTGTCTCACAGATCCAAATTTGGAAAGAATCTGAAAAATTGATGCTCCCAATACAATTCTCCACTTTCTCTGCTGCATCTCCACACGCCCATAATTGCTTGTCTTGCTAATCAGTTAAAGAGTCTGTGCAGACAGGGCAGAGCAAAGGTCACTCTTTGTGCACAGGTGCTAATAGATGCTAAGATCAAAAAAACCCTAACCCAAAATAATAAAGCAAAGTGAATTGTATGAAGTTCTGCTTATGTTTTTCTTGAATTTGGGGGTAAATACTTCTCTGTGTTGGTCACTGTGACACATTAATCCAGTTAAAGCTCATCAACACCATAACACTGTTCAACATAAATTCTGATTTTGTTTATATTGCAGCTGTTTGTGAATGAACTTAGCTGAATATGGATCCAGGTGGTGGAAGTCTGGGACTGCAAACACAGGAACCCAAAATGCCTCACACTATGATTATGCAGGATTTTGGTAAACACTTTTTCTATTAAAAATAAGGAGTAAAATCCCAGGGATGACCTTCTCAGGTATTGGGAAGGGCCATGTCTTTGTTCTAACATGAATTCACATTCCTCAGATAATTGCATTTGCAGTACAATGCTGAATAATTTCAATTAATTTTTTTTCATTCTGATAAGAACCCATTGCTCAAGTGTTTTGTTCATGAAGATTAAAACTGCTCTTTATGTGTGTGTTAAAATAATTCACTCTGCATTCCTTTTTACATCTAGAAAAGCAGTCTGCAAATATGCCTGGCCACTCAAGTCTGTTAATGAAACCAGGTTTCTACCTCTAGCCATTCCTTCTGCTGCTGGAAATTGTGCTATAAATATTGCATACAGCTGAGTATTTGTTTTTACCAAGCCCAGTGCAGCCTAAAGGATGAGAGTCCTTTTATTGTAACAGCAGTTAATGTCTTGTCACCACACTTCCTCCTCAGGGAGGAATTCTGTGAAGGTTCAAGCTGCTGCTGGAATGAAATGTTTTCTAACTGGGATTTGAAAGAAAAAGACTAAATTGCAAACTGGCCTTAGTGAAGTATTGTAGAACTGGAGACAAACTCCCCATTATGGCTAGAAGTGATATATTTTGTTTCCCTTAGCTCAAAGAACACAGGATGCTTCGGGTGGTGTTTGTGGAGTGAAATGCAGAATGTAGATGTTAACTAACAGGTTTCTACATCTGTGTTTAACTTACCTACACAGTTCCTCCATTCCTTAGCTAAACCAGTTGGTAATGCAGCAATTGTAACCTTTTCTCCTCGTTGCCATTGTTTCCTAGTGGCTGGAATGGCTGGCACCGCTCACATCGACGGAGACCACATCGTGGTGTCCGTGCCCGAGGCTGTGCTGGTGTCCGACGTCGTCACCGATGACGGGATCACTCTGGACCATGGCTTGGCAGCTGAGGTTGTGCAGGGCCCCGACATCATCACTGAGACCGACGTGGTGACGGAGGGAGTCATCGTTCCCGACTCGGTTCTGGAGGCCGATGTTGCCATTGAGGAAGCTTTGGACACCGGTGACCACGTGTTGACTTCTGACCTGATAACGGAAACCGTCAGGGTTCCTGACCAGGTGTTTGTGGCAGACCTTGTGACGGGGCCCGAGGGACACCTGGAGCACGTGGTGCAGGACTCTGTGTCCGGAGCCAACTCCCCCACCATGGTGTCTGAGGAGGTGCTGGTGACGAACTCGGACTCGGAAGCAGTGATCCAGGCAGCTGGGGCTGTTCCTGGCTCCACAGTCACCATCAAAACTGAGGATGATGACGATGGCAAGAGCACTTCTGAAGACTACTTAATGATCTCTTGTAAGTTCCACAAAGGTAGATACAAACAGGAGATGAGCTGAAGTAGGAGTGTTCTGGTGGGGAGAAGTTACTGTACTGGATTTGCTGACTCCGTACTGGAACACTGAGGGAATGGGTTGTTGTCCAGTTAATCTTTGGTATCTGGATTTGGGTTTCTTGGATGCAAAATCCATTATCACTGATACAGCAAGAAAGAGAAGGACATTGATGATGTCAAGTGAATGAGCGTGTACATTTGTGTTTCTGAAACTAGATATTCCAGGAGATTAAGAAAAACACCTTGGAAAGTTAAACATTCCATTTGGGTATAATATTGTTTCTAAAAAAATAGATGGAAACAAACCAACACCACAGGTATATTGCAATGTTATGCAGATTCATGTAAAAGCAACATGTTGGATTTAGTCAGAAGCCACAAAGAAAGAGTTTTTTGAGATCTCTGACTCTCAAAGTTTTCTCTGTGTCCACAAAATATTGTTTGAGTGTATTGAAAATTATAATAGGCATTTCATTGTCTGTTGTGCTGTTCTGGGCTGGACTTGGCACTAAGGGCTCCTGTGCAGGAATTGATTGGCTCATTAACACTGGGAAATGACTGTCCAGTCCAGTCCCACAGAGCAGTAACTCCAAGGAAATTGTGTGGTCCTGTACTACCTGTAGAGTTAGAGCAGCTGGAAGGACTTTGGGTCCATCATGTTTCCTCAGTGGTTAAATTATCCTCGAGGTACCAGTTGTTACTGCTACCCCAATGTGCTAAGTCGTATGGGAGCTCAGTTCAGATCTTCTCCAAGTCAGTTATTGAAATGTGAGTAGGTCAAAGCAGATTTTATTTAGTCAGAAGCAATATGTTGAAAAGAAGTCAATGCCAAGTGTGTTGAGTGTCAGTCTGTTCACAACTAGCTGCATTTATTAAAGATTTCATGACAGAGGACACGAGTGATTCATGACTGTAATGATTTCAATCCTTCACAGCATTTATGTCCCTCATGCAAAATATTTTTTGTTACGTATTTTCATTCAGTATAGGATGAGCAGCAATGATTTTAAATCATTCTATCATTACTGTAATGCCATACATCACTGAAGAAAAGGAACTAAAAAATGAGTCTATAAAGCAAATTAGACCTACAACAAAAAAACCTCCTGTGTGTTTTTGTGACTAAAGGAACACGAGTTTTGCAGCCAGTTGTTTCACTGAACACGTTCCTCCTTTCTGACAGAGTACTTGAGCTGAGTTGTAGTCTGTAACTGCACTGTTTCCAGCTGCACCTTTGTGATTGTAAGTACAGCCCTCTTTGGAATTCCTTCTGAGACAGAGTGGGATTGATGCTGATGGTCACTGCACTTAGACCAGAGCATCTTAAACTGTCACTTACTGCTGGCCTCAGGTGTGTGTGATGTGTTCATGGGTTTGTCAGGTGTTCTCAAACCTACCCGTGGCTTCTGCTGTATCTCAAAGCCACTTTGAGACCTGGTTTTCAGCAGATTAAATTTTTATATGTGGATAAGCATGATGTGCCTGAATAATCACAGCTGGGAGCTACATTATTCATCCAGGATTTTGGTTTAAGTAATTATTTAGATAAATTAAGGCAGCCATTGAATTGTTTAGGTTCGGAAAGACCTTTAAGGTCATTGAGTCCAACCATTCCCTCAGCCCTGCCAAGGCCACCACTAACCACATGCCCAAGTGCCACATCCACACTGCTGTTAAATTCCTCCATGGATGGTAAATCCACTGCTGCTCTGTGCAGCCTGTTCCATGGCTTGGAAATGCTTTCGGGGAAGGAATTCTCCCCACTATCCAACCTAAACCTCCCCTGGTGCAGCTTGAGACTGTTTCCTCTTGTCCTATCACTTGGGAGCAGAGCCTGACCCCACCTGGCTGCACCTCCTGTCAGGGAGTTGCAGAGAGTGAGAAGTTCCCCCTGAGCCTCCTTTGCTCCAGGCCAAGCCCCCACAGCTCCCTCAGAGTTCCCTGGTGCTGGTCTTTCCAGCCACTGTGTCCCAAGCCTGTAGGGTTGTTGTGACCCAACGGCAGGACCTGACACTTGGTCTTGTTGAACCTCATGCAGTTGTCCTCACCCCATGAATCCAGCCTGTCCAGTCCCTCTGCAGAGCCTTTCTGCCCTCTAGCAGATCAATCCCCCTCCTAGTTTGGTATCATCTGCAAACCCACTGAGGTTGTACTTGATCACCTCATCCAGATCATTGACAAAGTTGAGGTCTGTTGCCTCTGCTCAGTTTTGAGGCTGTGTCATGCTGGCTGTGATAGCCTGGCCCCACAAAGGATCTGCTGTTGGGTTTTGTCAGAAAAAATGAATAATGAGGCAGATGTAAATATTAATTGTTTTTAAATTAGGCTTGGATTTGCTTTGTTTATGAAGATATCCATTGTGTAGGATAGAGAAAGGCCTCGATGTATAAAGCAGGTTAAAACCCTTTTTATTTACTTCTGTTTTTAAATTAACAAATGTTCAGTAAATACTGTATAGAATCATAGAATCAACCGGGTTGGAAAAGACCTCCAAGATCATCAAGTCCAACCCTACCGTGGTCACTAACCCATGGCACTAAGTGCCACATCCAGTCTCAGCTTGAAAACCTCCAGGGATGGTGAATCCACCACCTCCCTGGGCAGCACATTCCAATGCCTGAGCACTCTCTCTGGAAAAAATCTCTTCCTAATATCCAACCTAACCCTCCCCTGGCAGAGCTTGAGTCTGTGCCCTCTTGTCCTGCTGCTGGTTGCCTGGGAGAAGAGACCAACCCCCACCTGACTCCAACCTCCTGTCAGGGAGTTGCAGAGGGTGAGAAGGTCTCCCCTGAGCCTCCTCTTCTCCAGGCTGAACACCCCCAGCTCCCTCAGCCTCTCCTCATGGCACTGGTGCTCCAGTCCCTTCACCAGCCTTGTTGCTCTTCTCTGGACCTGCTCCAGCCCCTCAATGTCCCTCCTGAGCTGAGGGGCCCAGAACTGAACTAAACACTGTAGAAAGTGAACTTTACATATTTCCTCTGGGGTGTATATGTAGGACTGCTGAACTGTTTCATGATGTAAATCACATCAAAGTGATAGTTTTAAAGAATTTCAAAATACTTAGCTGTCTTTTAATGAAATTTAGCATCTAAAAAGGAGAGGATCTTCATAAAAATCCCTTAGGGAATACTACCAACTGTTCTGTGGAACACATTTGGGAATTTCCAAAACAGTACATTTTAGGGGATGGAGCTGAGCTGAGTGTGGAATTTTCATAGTATCATAGTGTGTTAAGGGGTTGGAATGGACCTTAGAGGTCACCCAGCCCCAACCCCTGCCCTGGGCAGGGACACCTCCCAGCAGAGCAGGTTGCTCAAGGCTCATCCAACCTGGCTGTGAACACTCTCAGGGTTGGAGCATCCATAACTTTATAACTTGATTGTAGCTTACCTTCTCTCGTTGGGAGTTGCAACTTAAATGACAGAAGTCACAGGTTAAATAGTAAGTTAGAACTTAAATAACAGAATCATAGCATGGTTTGGGTTGGAGGGAACCTTGCTGAAAGGTGATTTTTCACCCTTTTGAGATGACAGTCCCATGGTAGAGTATCTACCCATATACTATACACCCATAGGTATTTCATGCACTATTTGTGATTGTATTGTGTAAATATTAGCTGGGGAATGGTATGTTTGTCTGTATAGTTGTGGCTAAGCATGACTGGAAATGTTCAGTGGAAGATAATCACTGCAGATGAATTCAGCTTTTGGAATCAGCTTTAGGACTTAAAGTTGGTCCATTCACATCTTCCACTGAGTACCACGATAACCCCTCGGAATGCCTTGCTAGAGAGCACATGAGCTCAGTGGGGAGACCCTGACCCCATCTCATGGTGAGGTGGGAACCTGCTGAGCAGCACGTCCCAGGTTGGCAGGGGGCAGTGGGCACAGTGTGGCTGAACACATCCCCTTTTTGTTTTTCAGGTTTGCGATATTCAGACCCACAGCGGCTTGCCAGCCCCCGCCCCGAGCGCTGCCCCTGCATGCACTATGCTGGTGACCTCAAACCCACCACAGAACCACTCTGGAGCTGGCCTTAGGGGTAAGGTACTGTTCCACCACCACCTCCTTTTTAGTCTCTTGCAGTACAGTGTTGCATAATTTGCTAAACATTTTAGTATTCCTACTCCTCTATTTTCACTTTGACATCAAGTATATCAGACCTTAGACAAAGACGGAAAATGGTCAAACCATGGGACTTATCTTGCCCTCCTGTTATCCCTCTGGGCTCCTGTGGTGGGTGTGATATCACCAGCATAGTGCATGCTGAGGCATCACATGGATTGGGAGCTGGCAATCCACGGTGTATCTGGACATCACACACCTGAAAACAGCCAAGTAAGGTAAGTTTAACCCTGGAAGTGTGCTGAGTTTTCCTTTAAACCTTGTCTGTTCTGGAGGATCAGCTCCTTTACACCTTGTTTATTCAGGAAGATTCAGCTCCTTTACATTTTGTCTGTTCAGGAAGATTCAGGTCCTTTACACCTTATTTATTCAGGAGGACTCAGCATATATTTATAAAGGTTCTTTGTTGTGTTTTTTCAGTTAATTTTAAGGGATGAGATAATAATATGTAGTGCTTCTGGTGGATGGGTCAGATCTGGAAGATACTTTGATATTCTATTGACATAAAGTGAGCATTCCTGTTCCTGTGAGCTGTCCCAGGGAAAAGCACTTGTGGGTTAGCAGTGATTGAAGTCCTGTCACTTAGACAACAGAATATTTTCATGAACTGCTTTTAAAAAAGAAAACATTTCGTAACCTGACCAATATTCCTTGTCCTGCTGTGTTGTTTTCCCCTTATCTAAATGTGTTTGAAAAATAGATGGAAACCACAAAATTTACTTCCTATAAGACAGCAATTCAAGCAGCAACAATTGCCAATTCAGTATCTTGTGGTGGTATTTGAAACCAAAGGCAACAGATAACATTCTGTATCTTTATCATTTTCTCAGTCCAGTATGTGTTTTCCAGATTTTGTTATATTGCACATTTGCTTTCTTAGCAAAGTGATTCCAGAGGCCCTGGAGGTTTCCTGATAGGTTTCCATTCTTTTCAGCTGAAATTGTAGAGACTGAATGTCTTTGAAAATACACAGGGTGGTTAGTGGTGGGGGAGTAACCATCAGTTTAAAAAACAATGTTCTAAGTTTGCCCCTCTGAGACAGGACTCCTTGTTTTGTAAAGGAAAATAAGGATTCAGTGACTTTATGTGAGATGTAAAACAGTATGTGGGTGCACATGCTGTATTTATTTTTTTTGCTGAAAATAATGTGATAAAAATGGGAAAATTCCTCATTTTTTCCCTTTATGTAACCTGTGTTGCATTGCAGTTGATGTCCTGGTAAGGCAGCTATGTGAAGTTGTGTGTTTTTTCCTTAGCTATTCCTCCAGCTACACAGTGGTGTGCAGTCAGTATCAGTTGGATGGGAGGAAATTAGCCATGGTAAAAACTCGTTATCACATATGTGATTCCCTCCCTGTTCACAGGGAGTTGCTGTTGTTAACTTCCAGTACAAAATACTTATTGTGTGTTAAACTGATAACGTTTGTGTTTGTATAATTTATGAGTCTAGAAGAAGTTGGTGTTGCTTGAGATGCAGATTTGAAAATATCTTTATCATCACCTCCCAGTGCTAAATTTACAGGAGCAGCTTCCAGTTAGTGAGCTCTGAATACTCCCTCTGGTTTTGGCAGCATGTCCAGTCCTACAGCTGTGTGTGATCCTCCTTGGACTGGGAGTGACCTCCAGTTCTTCAAAGACTCAAACAGGCACTGGAAATGTTCATTGTGCTAAAACTAAACACAGATGTATCACTGTAGAAAATATGGATAAAGCACTTACAAACATTAAAAGCCTTGCAGAAAAGAAAATGGTCTTTAATAAATTCAAGCACTGTAAATGCATGGAAATAACTTATTCCAAAAGAAGTATATTTTAGCTTCTCCTCTTTTTCATGTTAGTAGAGGATGCATGATCCTCTCTGCTCACAGCTCCCTCCTGGCAGGAGGACAAAAGTCAATTAGCAGATGCAGTAACACTCCCACACTGGGTGTGAAGGGGCTCACCTGGTGCTGGTAAACTTGAGTGTCAGAGGAACCTTCCAGGTTCTGGCTCTGCTGTTCCCACTCTGACTGTTCCCACTGTCCTGCCAGGTGACATCAATACCATGCAGAGCGTGTCAGGCTCTCACAGATTAAGCTGTGGATGCTGCTGGCATTGATTTCAGTAGAGATTTGTGAATGTTTTTATTAAAAACTCTTGTAATGAAGACATTTTAATTTTTTTTCCCCTCCTGATCCAGGCTTGATGTTTTTTCAGCAATGGAATGAATCTGTTCTGTACCAAAAATCCACCTAAACTAGCATTTTTTTTATGTTTTCAATTTAACTTCCATCAAATTAGATACTTACAGAGGTTCTAAAACAAAAACAAATATTCCTTTGTACTTAGCTACATCTTACCTAGTCCTGTCCTCAGCAATTTCTCTGCTCACCTGATGCAGCCCAAGATTTGTGTAGTAGAGCTGAGGTTTCTCAGTATGGGGATGGAAAATGTGTCAGTTGGACAAGTGTTCTGTGGAATCCTGTGCCTGTGTGGGAAGAGCTTAGTATGATCTGTGTTTCACCTACTGCACACATACCTTAATGTTGTGTGCAGCAAATTGCTGTTTCCCTGGAAGGTGCTGAATTCATTTTTTTTATGTTTTATGGGATTCTCCTGTCTCTGGAGGACTTCAGTGGGTGTTGAGCATTGCCCAGGTCTGTGCTGGCCATCTGCACAGGAGCTAATTTTATCCTCAGAGAGAAGTGTGTTGGCAGTACATATGTCAGAAAGATGCTTAGTTCAGTGCCCTCTGGGTTGGCAGTTTGGGGTGTATCTCTGGGTGTCTGTCTGACTGCCCTTTTTACCACAATAGTGTTGCTTCTGCACTTGGAATGTAGTTTTTGGGGTAGAAATAAGCATTTGGATATATAAATCAAATAATCAGTGACTGAGTTGTGTATAGCAAAGAATGAGAAGTCAACCTGACACAGCAGTATTTGGGTTTATTGTCATTGCATCTTTTAATCAGGTGTATATTATACAATAATCTTCATTAATGTGTGTGTTTTCAAGTGGTAAAGTGGATAAAATATTTTCTTTTCGGGAGAAGGTGTAGTCAGAGTTTTGATGCACACTTTAGCTGGGAGTATGCTGCAAATCCTCACTCTTCACAAGAGTTTCAGCTGCTGAATTTTAGCCATCACGGTGTTAGTGAAACTTCTGGAGACTCTTAGACTGCAGCAGGGAGTTCTGGGTTAATTTTGACCATTTTTGGATAGATGTTTAGTTTTAACTATTGATAGATTTTTGCATTCTGAGCACAATAGTTTCAGCCATAACCAGTTACCACATTCCCTTTGATGACAACTCCCTTTTGTGTCCTTCATTCTGTAATTCCTACTGTGTTTCCTGAGTTGCAGTAAAATGATACTGAACTTCTGGAATCTCTTTGAAGTTTGTTGAGACAAACTGTTCTGTAAAGGCCATTTATGAAGACAAAGCTTTATTGTGCATGGGGAGAATAACACAGCAGCTCATGCTGCTGCTTACTTGGACTTCTAAAAGTGTGTTTGAACCTCATTCTTATTCTCTTATCTTTACAGTGGATGATGTTGGAGAGAAACTGGACCATATAGGAAACACTCCCTTGAAGATCAGCACTGAGGTGGCAAATGATGACGTTGCTAAAGATGATGGGTTTGGTTCAGAAGTTATCAAAGTGTACATATTTAAAGCTGAAGCTGAAGATGATGTGGAAATAGGTACCTTTAATTCTGTTCTTCCAGTAGTGTGAAGTGTTTGTTTGTTGTCCTTAATTCCATGTAATCCAGGGACTGGAATGTTGTGTAGAACGTGACATTTGTGGAGGCTGCAGTAAACACAGGGTGTGGATTGGTCTCGGGTTCTTTTTTGATCAGCAGGATTTATTTTCAGGCAGCCAAAGCCCAAATGTAGAAGTGGCTGTGTGTCTGCAGCTGTTTTTCAGCTGCTGCTTTCCTCTGATGGAATGTCAGCACAGCAGAGCCTGGGCAGTGGGTCCCTCGTGGTGGACAGCCAGTGGTGGGAGGATTGCTGGGGCTGTAGTGGACAGACCTTCCAAACCTCCCAAGGGACTCAGAACTGCCCTGCAGCTCTCTTTGCCAAGGGACAGACCCAGCACTTCCAGGTGCTCCAGGAGTGGGTGTACTGTTCACCTGTCTGTCCTTTGGAACCTGGAAAAGCAGAAACCTGCACTAGGTTGCCAGAGTAACTTCTCATACTTTGCTATCCTGTTTGGGATAGACAATGTCTGGTTGGGCTGAAGGTTAGGGAGTATTTCTATAAGGCCCCTGGGATTTTCAGTATTTGATCCTTAATTCCTTTCAAATATAAGAAAGAGGTTGTGAGGAGCTTCCTAAGACTGTGGGGAAAAGATCTGGAGAAGCAACATCTTCACATCCCATATCTGTTGTGGCATCTGTTTCATCTGCCAGTTCCTGCATGAATTGCCAGGCCCTGCTCTCCAAACACAGCTTGTTCCTCTGGGGACAGGCTGTGAGTCTCCAGGGGCACATTGCTACTGCAGCAGCAGGTGCTGCCAAAATCTCATCAGGCTCAAAACTCATTTTCAACAGAGCTGTTCTCATGAGCTGCTCTCAGTGCTTCTGGTAGAGCTCTGAGGTGGTTCCAGCAAATCATCCCAGTCCTTGCTGGGAGCACTTCTTCCCCTCAGCAGCAGCTGGTGCTGTTGGACATTTGATGCTCAGTGTAAGGAGCACAGAAGCTGAGATGAATCTTCATCTTAAACTTTGGAATGCACTGCCCAGGGAGGTGATGGAATCACCATCCCTGGAGGTGTTTAAGGAGAAACTGGACGTGGCATTTAGTGCCATGGTCTAGGTGACATGGTGGTGTTAGATCATAGGTTGGAGTTGTGATCTCAGAGGTCTTTTCCAACCTAATTGATTCAATGATTCACTAGGAATATCTGAGATTCAAGGCTGTGTTTGGGGCAAGGTTAAAACTAGTCATTTTTTTGGTGGGCACGGGCAGGTGTGTGTCTGCAGTCACACCTGAGCTCACTGCCAGCACACCTCAATGGCTCATGATCCTTGGGGAATGGTTGTTTAAGCTTACCAGGACACACCAAGACACCTTTTTCCTCCTCTGTTCCAGGGTACCAAACTTGCATGATTTTACGACAGACCTGGTTATAAAAACACTGAACTGTAATTTGATTAGAACCAATTTTGTTGTAAATAAGAAAAAAAATACTTAAATCTGAAATTAATCTTTACAGTGGCTTTGTTCACATTTACTTAACGTGTGTCACTTCTTTGTGTTAAAGGTGGGACAGAAATTGTCACTGAGAGTGACTTTCACAATGGCCATTCTGTAGCTGGAGTGATTGAACAAGGAGGTGTGGGGAGGATGCAGCGAGAAAAAATGGTTTACATGGCTGTTAAGGACTCCTCTCAGGAAGATGAAGATATTAGTAAGCATAATAAGAAACCTTCCTGTTTCTCATGCAGTTTGTGCACCAATAGGCCCTTCATTCTCAAGGACATTGTAATATTTTCTGAAGGACTCTTCAGCCTGAAGTAGTAGAAAACTAAGATCTTCCCTAAAAATAAAAGACAGGCTGTAATCATTTGAAAGTGATGTGGATAAAGGCACTTTGTGCATCCTGTATGCAATCATTTCACTATTTATCTTACATTTAACATGTCCGTGGATGAAGTTAATGAGGTTAGTCAAACTTCTTTTTGCTGTGAGTTATTGCCTTGTCTCAGCAGCTTTCTGGCCAAGTGGCAAATGTCATGAGTTGCATGAGTCTGTGTATTTGAAATCCTGTTGGTATTTGTTTTGGCTTTGTGTTTTTTGATATGTGTTTTCTCTCTTTAAGGGATTCTGAGTAAACAATGATCCCCTCAGGACAGGGGTGGCTCTAGATGCCAAAGGAATAAAAGTGGTTTATATCAGTCAGAGTGAGAGCAAATTAACCAAAGGGAAAGGTAGGATGAGCAGAATCAAATTAAAGCTTTATTCTTCTCCCTTACTCCAGGCTGTGCTGAAATAGCAGATGAAGTTTATATGGAAGTTATTGTAGGTGAAGAAGAAGCCACATCCCTTCCAGACACCCAGCTGGAGGACTCTGGTGTGAATAAAACCTTTGTCCCTGTTGCTTGGGCTGCTGCTTACGGTAGGAATCTGTCTGCTTATTGCTGAAAACCCATTATTGCCTCCCTCATGCAGCTTCCAGAATCTTTGTGCAGATGTGATGATCTCTCACTGTGTTCTAGGGGTTTGGAAACAGCTCCTTCTGGTCGCTGTCAGAGAGGGAATGGATTGCTGTGTGTTGAGTTTCATGGAGGAGCTGTTAGGAGAGATTTTACACTGCTCCTCATCCCAGCTCAGATGGACAGAGCATGTGGGGTTTAATGGTTGGCTGTTGAAGATCTTACAACAGGAATAGCCTTAAGTATTTTACATTAGCTAAGAGGAAGGGGGAAAGGCTTAAAAAGGAATATTGACATAAATGTGTTCCCAGGAATTTCAGTGTTTTGAGCCTGTTAGTCCTTCAGGTCAGAAACAGAAGCAAAGCTTCAGATAGTGAAAGTGTCTTACCAGGACACAGCATGAATTCTGAATATTCTTTTATTTCATGCTCTTCTGGTGTGTGAAGATGTTAGGAGGGTATTGGGCATCTGTGGTCCATGTTCTAATTGAGTGAGTCAGTTCAAATTCATTGGAGTGATAATGTGAGCACAGCAGTTGTGCTGGTAAAGTGCTGCAGAACCACAGAGCTCTGGCACGTGGCAGCAAACACTTCCAGTGCAAAATGAGGAATACACTCCTAAGGTGTTTCTTGTACATCTCCCAGAACTCCGTGGTGCCTCATGTAGGAGAGTGCTGAGAGGCTGATAAGGTCCAAGTCCTCTTATCTACCTGGTGCTACTCCAGAAAGATAATGTGCTTCCAACTCAAGAACAAACTGTGCATTCCAGGTCAGCTCTGCATTGGTATCTGAGGTGTCTGTGAGGTTAAAAGTTTGCAGAAACAAGCATGTTAATGAGGAAGAGCAGGAAAGCCAGGATGGTAAGCATGCACACACAGGTTTAGGGTGTATTAAAGATGGGATTTTGTTCCCTGGGGCTCACGGAGCACTGAACTGGCTGTGAGCTGCACAGCTCCCTTGGATTGGGGCTAAGCTGTTACTTACTAGCTAAGCTAGTTTTCTCTCATTATCAGACTTTCAAAGCCATCACCTGAGAAAAGCATTGTAATTTATAATGACTGGAATACCATTTTCTGCAGGAGATGAACGAAGACTTCCCCGAAGATACGAAGATGGTCAAGCGGCAGGTGAGAACTTGTCACAGCATTAGATTAATGTGCTGTCCTTGGGAATATACACACCTGGAGTCAGTGCTCCTGGTCAGGGAGTGCAGGGAATTGGGTACTGAAGGACTCCTCAGTCCTTCTCTACTGCCTTGAATCCAAACCATTCTAGATGTGTTAGGCCTTTGGAGAGGGTTGGGGGGTCGGGAGGCTCTTCCAGGGTTCTGCAGGCAGAAAAGAGATAATGTAGTTGTTTAGAAGTAAAGCCAAGTTAAGTAAAAGGCAACAAGCAGCATAACTCATAAGATATTAATGTCTTGAGAGGCTCCTTGAGAAATCAAGGAATATATTTAGACACGAATCAGTGTTTAAACCACTCTATTCCTGAGTTTAGCAGGAAAGATTCATAGTGCTCCCTGTTGGCATGATTCCTCCTAATGGATTGCATGGGAGAGGAATGGGCAGTGCTTGTCTGTGAGAAGTAGATGCTAAGCTGCTGTGCAATTCCAGTCGTCAGTCCCAAAGGGATGAGTCGTTTGAGGTTTTTACGATGTCTAATTTTTGTTTCTAGGAAATAACTTGGATACACGATTAGAAAACAAAAACGGTAATGCAACACAGTACCTGCAGATTTGTGATAGCATTAGCACTAATAGAGTGCTCAAACAAAAAACCAAGAAAAGGAGGAGAGGAGAGGCCAGGCAATGGCAAACAGGTAAACACTGTATGGCTGTGGTATTGTCACGGGGTGCCACTCACTCCTCTGCTGTTCCTTTTCTCTTTTTTTTAAGCTGATGCAGAATTAAAAGCTATAAATGATGATTTGCATATTTCCTGTGTCCTTCCCCCTCCAGTTCTGTGCTTAGAAAATGTCATAGTTTTTGCTATTCAGAGTCAGGGCTGATGATGCAATTCAGTGGAATGCTGCAAGCTATGAAAGAGTAACCATGGCTATATTCACTGCACATGTGACATTGATGATCTGTTTGAGCAGTTTCTGAAACAGAACTATATAAACTATAGGTGCTGTGGATTGGTTGTTTTTAAACTACTGAGCCATTCTCTGCTGCAAGTGTAAGTGCATGAGTCTGAACAGCACTTGGCTGATTTAAAGCTTCTTCATCAGTAAATGTGTTTCCTTCATAACTTGTTTTTGTTTGTTCAAAAACAGCTGTTATAATAGGTCCTGATGGACAGCCCCTAACAGTTTACCCTTGTCATATTTGTGGGAAAAAATTTAAATCCAGAGGATTCTTGAAAAGGCATATGAAGAACCACCCAGATCATATGATCAAGAAGAAGTACCAGTGTACAGACTGTGACTTTACAACCAACAAAAAAGTAAGTTTCCACAATCATCTGGAAAGCCATAAACTTATAAACAAAGTCGATAAGACCCATGAGTTTACAGAGTATACGAGAAGATACAGAGAGGCAAGTCCACTGAGTTCCAACAAACTGATCCTGAGGGACAAGGAGCCCAAGCTACACAAGTGCAAATATTGTGACTATGAGAGTGCAGAGCAGGGACTGCTCAATAGGCATCTGCTCGCAGTCCACAGCAAGAACTTCCCTCACGTGTGCGTGGAGTGCGGGAAGGGATTCCGACACCCCTCGGAGCTGAAAAAGCACATGAGGACCCACACAGGGGAAAAGCCATACCAGTGTCAGCACTGCGTGTTCAGGTGTGCTGACCAGTCCAACCTGAAAACTCACATCAAAACCAAACACGGCACCGACCTGCCCTTCAAGTGCGAGCACTGTCCCCAGGCCTTCGCCGACGAGAAGGAGCTGCAGCAGCACACGGAGCTCTTCCAGGGCCACAAGACTCACCAGTGTCCCCACTGTGACCACAAGAGCACCAACTCCAGCGACCTGAAGCGACACATCATCTCGGTTCACACCAAGGATTTCCCCCACAAGTGCGAGGTGTGCGAGAAAGGCTTCCACAGGCCCTCGGAGCTCAAAAAACACAGCGAGACCCACAAAGGGAAAAAGATCCACCAGTGTAGGCACTGTGACTTCAAAACGTCCGACCCTTTTGTACTTAGCGGGCACATCCTGTCGGTTCACACCAAGGACCTGCCTTTTAAATGCAAAAGGTGTAAAAGAGGCTTTAGGCAGCAGAACGAACTCAAGAAGCACATGAAGACCCACAGCGGGAGGAAGGTGTACCAGTGCCAGTACTGCGAGTACAGCACGACGGACGCGTCGGGCTTCAAGCGCCACGTCATCTCCATCCACACCAAGGACTACCCTCACAGGTGTGAGTACTGCAAGAAGGGCTTCCGCAGGCCCTCCGAGAAGAACCAGCACATCATGAGGCACCACAAGGAGGCCATCCTGTGATGGCTCCACGAGGAGGTAGAACTGTGTGCTAACGGGGGGCGAAAAACACAAAAAAAATAAATCTCACGAACTGTTTCTCCTGGTATTCAAAGCTTGATCTTAACCCATAACTTTCCATTCTTTGTATCGAAAGTCTTACAGGCAGGAGGGTTGGCAGGGGATCTCGTAGCCCTGTGATTGTTGCTGAGCAGAGCCTAAAGAGCACTCGAGAATGCAGAGGATGGATGAATGTCTTATATTTGCAGAAAGCTGGATGAATGTCCTCAAAGTGCATAGTGTTCCCAGTGCTGAGTAGAGCAGAGCAGAGGTGATTGTGTTTGTCTCCCACGTGGACAGCTGGGCTGAGCCCAGGGGGTGGCCAAGGAGCCAAACTCCTCGTGCAGCTCTGAACAGGGAGTTGTAGTCAGTCACTTCATCACAACCTTTGAAATTGTGCCTAGAGATTAACTTCCACAACTGCTCAAATTTGGGGGGTTTGTCCCTTGTTCGGTTTCATTTTTTTTTGTTTGTTTTTTTAAAAACATTTCATTGGGAAACTTTTTGGTTTCCTTTATTAGTTTAGGTCCAAGAAGAAATTTTTTACTGGTTTTCAAAGCTGCTATAACCTATTTTATTGCAGGATATGCTGTTGGAAATAGAGCATTCTGTTACGGTCTCAGAGGTGGTGTTCTGGTGCTAGGGGTAAAGATGTATATGTATATAATTTCCCTTTTTTTACCTGAAACTACAGTTGAATGTTGTTCAGTATGGCACATGTAACAAAATTAACTGGGAATCTGATTTTTTTTTTTTAAGGATGAAATGGATGCAGCTCTTAGTGTTGTGACTTCAACACTGATTTTTTTGTTTTCCTCACTACTTTAAAGTCTTCTCTAAAAAAAAAAAGAATATTAAAAACAAAGTTGAAAACTTGTAGGGGTTTTTAATTAAAATTCAGAGTACTTAGAAGTGCTTTAGGGCAGTGTTCTTAACAGGCAGGACAATTATTGTCCTACCTCCTAATAGGGAAATTTTCCATAGAGGCATAAAATTGCACCTTTTAATCGATTCTTTTCAAAAAAGAAGATCTTATACCATGCTATAAACATGCATTTTTTTTTCAACCTGTAAGAAAGTATATATGCAGTATTTAACCAGAAAAATCTGCTGCCACTAGAGTTTGGAGGTGGATCTTGAGTTTACAGTGTATACATTTAAAATATGCATCCTTGAAACGCTTTGTGTTCGCATGCTGCAGATCCCGTGGCGCTTCTATAACGAGCTGCTCTAGGGCTATTTAATGACAGACCTGGTCATAAATGTTATGCATATAATGTGTATTTTTTACCTTTTTTTAGTTGCTTCATGTTTGCACACAGCTGTTCACATGAGAAATTGTACCTTCATGCTATATTGTGGCTTTGTGTTCCAGATAATGTTTCATATTTCCGTTCGGGTTTTTTGTTGGGTTTTTTTTTTTTTTTTTGCACCAGATGAGAATCAGTTCCTCGAGAATAAATTTTTTTTATATTTCTAAACTTCAGAAAAAACAAGTGAAATTTGGGAAATCTCTTAGATGAATACGTGTTTTATGTGGCTGTAAAAAAAAACCTGATGTACACGCTGTAAAATAAGATTGTCACTGTTCTGTGGGATTATTATTATTATTTCTAAGTGTGTTACTCATCGTAACGGGCATACAATAAAACGCAGCTCTTGCACTCCAGAGCTTTGGGGTTTGCTTCTCCTTTGTGGGGGGCAGGAGAGCCTCACTCTCTGCAAACCTGCCTGATAGCCCTAATTACAGCATCCACTAATTAATCTGTGATGGCATTTCCAGTAAACAGGTTGTGTGATGTCTATCACCTCGGTGAGGGGAGAGCGTTGGGAGTCTTTGGTTTGACTAACCCTTGGAACTTGCAGGTAATGTATTTTGTTTTGCTGATTTCTCAGGTCGTTATCAAATGTGATGTTGACATTCCCTTGAAATTTTTTTCCCTTTAAGAGAACATAAACCTTGTCACATACTTTGGAAAAAGCCAGGTAGGTTTTTATCTTTTTCTCTGTGTTGTGAGAACAGTTTGCAGGGTGAAGTACTAAGTGTTGCTATCCTAATTTCCCTCTCTTTTAGAGTCCTTGAGCAGCAGTAGTAGGTTAAAAACTTGAAGAAGAAAGTGTGATATTAAGTGAACTCTTCATCAAGGATTCCCCAACAGGCTTTGAGCCACTGAACTCATAGGTTTTGCACCAAAAAGCAGAATTGAGCAGACAGGAATGTGTATACCTCTGGTTTGTGTTGCTGCTGCTTTGCTTTGCAGGCTCAGCAGGCAGAGCAGGAGGTGGTGGCATTCAGAAAATCTTAGGTATGTAAAGTTGTGGCTTTCTGGCAATGTTAGTGCTCATTCCTGAATGTTCCACTGAACTAATGGACTGAAGGAGTTTCTTCACAGCAGCCTGAGGATGAGCCCTCTGACTGACACAGCTGTGCTGGCTCATTTTACCACCTTACAGATGGCCAAATAACCAGGTAATAATTCTGCATCAAAGCCAGAGCTTGGTTGCTGTTCTTGACATAAGATTTACTAGAAAGTGGTGTTTTAAACTGAAATGCAAGAACAAAGTGTCCCCTGACTCCTCAGCACTGAGGCACAGCCCCTAGAGCCTTCTCAGTGCCCCTTCCCAGTTAATATTTAAGGTATTTTGGTGGTTGTTGTGTTGTCACCATGGAAAATGCTTCATGTCCAGTGCCTCAGTACTTCCACGGGTGCCTTTCCCAGTGTTAGGGATGGGATGGGATGGGATGGGATGGGATGGGATGCTGCTCCCCAGTGCCAGGAGTGGGAAGGGAGTGGGGTGAAGCTGTCCCTGCCTGGCAGCCGAGTGAGGAAGCTCAGCTGTGTGTTGGGGTTGCTGCTCCCCATGCTGGAAGTGACCATGAGCACAGTGTGGGTGCCTGAGCCAGCAGAGGAGCACAAACCTGGACCTTCTCTGAATGGTCACACTGGGTCAGTGCAGGTTGCTACTGGAATGACTGGTGCAGTTACAACTGATTCATGGCTTCATCTTCTGTTTTCCTTCCTTCAGGTTTCAAATGGCCACAATTAGAGGTAATAAATGGAGAGGAAACACAGAAGAACACCAGGGAACCCTGAAATTAGAGGTGAGTTACCTGGGTGGAGTCTCTGTGACTGCAGATTGTTGGAGCTCTCAGTAACTGTTGAACCAGGGCTCTATTACAGCTGGGGCAGAGAAATACAGGCAGAAAGGTCAGTCATGGAAACCATAAGACTATTTTCTCCTGCTGTTCTGCCACTCTGTCAGGTGTGTTCAGGCACTGAGGGGTTACTTGATAACACTGCACTTGAATGGGGTGGAATGTATATTGTCAATATATGAAGTTAAATGCCCTTGGGTTTTCCTAATTTATTCCTGAAAAAAATGAAGTCTTGGTGGACCCACCTGAAATTGAGGTGGGAAATTATCTAAAGTGTTTAAATATATATTATAACTAGTGGTTACAGAGCTGAGTAAATGAGAAAAATGTGTTTCTGTAGACTCCAGCAGAAACCACGTTAGGTAAATCAGTTCCAGTTCAACAGCAAAGAGGCAACAGCTGAGACCATGGCAAGGGACAGGTACTACATCTGGTTTGGAAATCATTCTGCTATGAAGACAAAGCCTGCCCATAAATAAGTGGCCATTGTGCTATATCTGCTGGTCTTACTTAGATTTTGGACCAGGATCTATTGCTTTGTGTTATCTGTGAGTAACATGTTGTTGTGCTCTGCAGCATTGACAGTGGCTTCAACTGCCCAACCAAGCCTTGGGGACCCTGGTCCTACCCCACACCGTGCAGACATCTGTCTGTCCTGATTTTATTTATTTATTATTTTAAACAGACTGGGATTTTATCCTGTCTGCTCAGCGTGGGGAGCAGGCCTAGTGTTAGCCCTGTGAGTTATCACCATACCAGCTGTATATGCCAAACAGATCATTTGCCTCCTGTGGCCTTTGTCATGGCTTTGTCTCACCGTGGTCAGAGCCTGTGTCTGTCTCAGGGTGTTCACTGGTGTGTTGTGCTGTGCCTTGGGGTTAGGTCGTGCAGAGCTGAGGGATGGGGAGGAAATCCCTGCATAGCTCTGGCAGTGATTGAACCACGAGCACAGGGTGATTGTGGCCATCAGTAACTCGTGTTTCTGCTTTTTGTAGCTTCTGCCAAGCTGCTGCAGACCCTGCCAAGCAGCACAGCCCAGCTGGGAGCACAGTCCTGCACAGGTAACTGCTGGCATTAAACAGATATGGTTCTTCCCCTTTTATTCATGCAGGTCAGCAGAGAAAAGTCACCTGGTGCCAGTGAAACTGAGGTTAGTTCCTGGGACAGAAGACACTGCCACTGCTGTGTGTTAACCCTGTGTTGATGTACCTCACTGCTCTACAGCCATGGGGGTTGTTTTAGAGTGTTTTAGAACAGTTAGTGATTTCAGAGGGGCAAGACCCTCCCCAGAGGAGGTTACTTAAGTAATTAAAGCCTCTTCCTGTAGAACTAGGCTGAAGTGATTTGAGTTGCTGGTATAAACTCTGACTTGGTTCTGAAACTGCTGTCCTGGCTCAACCTGGACACACTCAGAGCAGCACAAGGAACAGGTTTTACTCGTGTCTCTTTCTCCAGTTTTGAAGAGCACGAGATGAACTGGACATCCAGTACGAACTGAGGGAAAGACTGGGAGCAGGAGCCAGAAAAGGGACCCAAGACTAGTCCTGCACCTGTAAAGAGCTGTGCGGAGGAACAAGACACCACCTAACCCCTCTCACATCCCACGGCCACAGGAAGTTTCCAGGACACACAGACATGATTCAGACAGTTACACCTTGTTTATTTTGTGGTTACACATAGCCTCCAGCATTCTCTCACTGTTAGACAGTGTCTGTGGTCTATATTATTTGTGAGCAGAAATACATGTCTGCAGAAGTAAAGCCAAGCAGGAACCCCATGCGAAAGAAGCACCTTAGGATTGCATCAGTGAAACTTCCCCTGTGATTCTCTGTGCTGTGTTGCTCAGACAACAACTCAATCATGAGTACCAAATCCTTTTGAAAGGACTTCTGTGGTCCTGGAAGGAGCAGAAATTGTAAATGGCAGTTTGGGCTGATCAGGAAATTTAGTCCATGAGCTATTTTCATACAAAGTTTTTTCTATATAAAAATATACCAAGTTCTTGAAAATTTCAAGCACAGTAAATAAATACTTACAGCTGTTTTGGGGCTGAAATACATCACCTCTGGGGTCAGAAACATTCTCTAAACAAGCCCTTGCCCAACCCTTCACTGAACTGGTTGGGTTTGAGGAGTGTGGCTGGTGTAAGTGGAGTAATTGTCCTTTATGTCTGAGCCTCCCCTACAGAGGCAGGTGAAGGTAGGTGGTTTTCAGTGAGGTATTTTGGAAGTTCTCCATGCAGGTGATACTCAAACTGCAGCACTGACCCAGCCCTGTGATGTGTGAGAGTGGTTGGTGCCATTCCTACTCTCAGCACCAGGAGCTAGGACAGAGGAATGTGGCTACAGGTATGAAGAGGAAAAGGTTTCAGGTGTCTTCTTTTGTCTCTTAGATCACTTCAGGACTGGCTGAAGGACAGAGGTTAGTCAAGAAAAGCTGAAGTCCACAGAGACATGGCACCCTGCTCTCCTGAGGGAACAGTGAGTCCTTGCTGTGCTCCCAGCCCTCCTCACTATCACACTGAACCTTTGGGGGATGCAGAGGAGCAGAAAGTAAAGCAGTTTCAGTGGTTGTGAACTCCTTGGAACAGCTCTGACTGCTCAGAGGTTTCTTTCATTCCTGAAAGAAACAAACAGCTTGTTAGAAATACACAAACTGATTTGTTAAAAAACAAACCCACCTGCTGTAAACATCTCAGTTACCTCCTGGTTCTCACCAGCAGCCTGGGCTGTGACTGTCTGAGGGCTCCAGGGAGCCTTTTCCTCTGGACCAAATGCTTTGTTAATGTCTCTCTTAAATCTAAATCCTCTGTACCAAATGCTTTCTAGTTTAATTTCTTTACTGATGTTTAATTGCTTGATGCTTCACTAGGTTGCAATGCAACTGGATGAGTTGTAGAGATCAGTAATAAAACTGCTGTTTGCCAGTGACCTGTGCCTTTTGCTTTCTTAATCCTCCTGCAGGTAACATACCAGGTGTGTTACTCTTCACCTGCTCCAGAGGCTCCCAGAACTGTCTCTTTGCTGGTTTGTCCCCAAAACCACTTAGCCCCTGTGTGTGGTGCTGTGTCCCTGTGCCTGCAGGCAGTGTCACCACCTTCCTTCCCTGTGCAGCACCTGGCCATGCTAAGCTTCCTCCAGCCTCACCTTGTAACCAGGCTTGGGCCACAGCCAGTGCCCTGTCACTGAGACAGCTGCTGCAGTCCTGGTTCCTATTGTCACTCTGAATCACTCCTTAAAAAGTCTCCTCTCTGCTGCATTCCTGGGTTAGGCACTGCCCTGGCTCAAGGTGAGTTTCAGGGATGGAGTGGTGAAGTGTGTTTAGTAATGGCTTGGAGTCATTAATGCTCCTGGTGCAGAGGAGCAGTGCCCACCCAAAATACTCCTCATCCTGGTGCAGAGGAGCAGTGCCCTCCCAGAACACTCCTCACCTGAGAACACAGTCCTTGCCTACCTGCCCAGTACAGCAACACCCAGGGGGCTGGTGCTAGAACAAAGCTGCTGCCTTTGTTCAGGGTAATTAAGTGGCAGAGAAAACAACAAAAGGTTTTATTTGTACCCCACCCACCAATTACTGCTCTAGAGCCAGGACAGTGCCCTGACTGGAATCAGTCACTTTGCAGCAGAGTTAAATTGCCACAACACATGTCTCAGCTGTCAGTTTTCAGTTTGGCTAATGCTTTGAAGTTCAGCTGAACACTTAGGGATTGCAGAGGGAACAGTGCATCACCTCAGGTGAACTTACATGTTTCCATATCTCTCCAGTCCTCTCAATGACAATAGTCTGTGATTTATTGACAGGTGATGTGACCTTGTAGTCATCCGACAGGAGCCCCAGAATAGGATACTGATTCCTGTACCTGTGGAGGAGAATTGCCAACCTGAGATCCTCAGCTCTGTGTCCCAGTCACTAACTCTGCCCTTCCCCCACAGCCAGGCCTTAACCCCAGTAACCCAAAGCCAGCACAGATTTCAGTCCCTGTGACACACTGACCACCCTCGAGTGCTGTTACAGTGCTGAGTCCTCCCAGACAGGAAAACCTCTCTTGACTTGTTCCCCCTTAAGCTGAACAGGTGAGACTAAGGCATGTGCAGGAAGAACATGTTTAGCAGAAGGGAAAGAAATGCAAAAGATGTATTTTTAGGAAGGGTAAATAAGTGCATTACTTCTTAGTGATGATGGCTGTCACACCAGGGGACTGACTGCCTGACAGCTTCTCGTGCTTCAGTCTGAAGAGCTCCTGGGAGAGGCCAAAGCAAACGCGTGAGTTAATGTTTTCTGAAGCATTAGTTCAGTGAAGTCACAACAAAACATTTGCATTTCTTCCTTCCAAAGAGCAAGCTGAAAAGGTCTGTCCTTGCAGATTCTGGCAGAGGAACAGCATTCAGCTGGAACAAATGCTAACCCCAGTTCCTGAGCCAGGAGAGGACAAGTGACTTCCTGAAAAAAAAAGCGGAGACTTAAATACAAAAACTCCTAGAAGAGAAACAACTTGAATTATTTTACCTCTTGCTGTTGCTTAATACAAGTGTCTTTGTCCTCCAGCATCGCTGTCAGTTCGTGCAGCCTCATTTGCAAGTCACTGTTGCTTCCCTCTCTCCTGGATATATCTTGCTGGAATTGGCAGAGCTGTGACTGTAAGACATGTGAAGGAGCAGTGAGGTGGGAGTGCTCCGTGCAGGAGGGAGCCAGGAGTTGGGTGGAGTTTTCATTAACAACATCAACACTAAGACCCTGACCAGAAAGTTGAGCCTCACAGTAAGTTCAGAAAGTGATAATTGGACTGAATTCTACCCCCATAATCAATTTAATAGTCTTGTAAGTCGGTGAAGCTGAAACAACACTGAACAAATCAAATTCTGCTACTGCTACACTGATTTCCATGAGAGACATTTCCTACACACAGTTGTGATTATGACTGGGATTTGTTCTTGTTTTCCTTTGGGTGTCTTTTGACTAGTTTCTTACTTACCAGGACACACAAAATATCCCTTTAGAAGAGTCCCCTAATCAGACTGATCCCTGGTTTCTACAGCTGAGGAATTGTTGGGGTTCTTTTAATCAGTTTTATGTTCTACCTTCAGAGTTTCTGAGGCACCATTGGTGTCTATGAACAGAGTCATCCCAGAAGAGGCCTGAGAGCCAATCTGGTAGGTGTGTCCTGTTCCTTGCAGGAGCAGCTGTTTGCACACACACACACAGAGGTGCAGGGACTCACCCTGAGGCTGCGGATCTCGCGGTCCTTGTCGTCCCTCAGGTTGTTGATCATCTCCACGTACCTGCTCGACAGCTCGTCCGTGGTGGTCTGCAGGGCTGGGCTGGAGCAGCTCTACACACACATCAGGATTGTTATTTTCATGCTTTGATGCATCTGTGTGTGCCTAAGCTACTGCACCCAGGCCAGGTGAGCCTCGTACCTGCAGCTTGAGGCTCTGGATCTCTTGCTCCAGGGCCCTCTTGCCATACTCCAGCTCCTTCAGCTGACAGTCCTTCTCGCCCTCGCTGAGCCGCAGGGACAGGAGCTGTTCCTCCAGGGAGCGGCACCTGGCAGTGCTGTCCCTCAGCCCTTGCTGGGAAACACAGGGAATGGGTGCACAGGGATCCTCAGGGGTGACAGCATCACACACACACACACACAGAAGCACATACAAACACACACACAAACACACACACACACAAACACAGTAACACGTACAAACACGGGAACACACACACACACAAACACAGTAACACATATAAACACACACAAAAACCACACAAAACCCACAAAAAAAACCACAAACATGCACACACAAACACTCACAGAGACACACCAACACAAATACACACAGACACACAGAGACACAAACAGAAACACACACAAATACACACAAAAACACACACACACACACACACAAAAACACAGAAACACATACAAACACACAAAAGGCCCACACACAAACACAGAAACACAAACACACACAAACCAGGCAGCAGCTTCTCAGAACAGCCCAAGAGTCAGACACTGCTTTGGGGCTGAGTGGAACTGCAGTGCAAACATGGGTTTGGTTTTACCTGCTGCTGACGATTGTTCTCCCTCAGAGAAGCCAACAGAGTTTCATATTCTTTTACTTGAGCATCCTTAAAAGCCAAATCCTTCCTCAGCAACACGTTGTCAGTTTCCAGCTTCTGCAGGGCAAAGAGTTCACAGCCAACAGCTGCAATATTTCCCTAAACTCTTCACATGAAGTGCAACATGTCATTGGTGAAGTTTTGGAACTGAGAAAACAATTTTCCTGAAGTTAAGGCTTTAACTGCACAGCACAGAGTTGTGCCTGTGGCTCTGTGCTGGGTGCTGAGCACTGGGATCCAGGACACACAGAGAATTATTGACAGCTATTAAACAGAAGTCAACTAAAAAAAACAACCAACACCAAAACCAAGGCCACAGCACAGACTCCTTGTTCTCTGTTAGATATGACAGTTAAAACTCTAAAATTTGCATTTCATAGGAGAATGCTGCGACATTCCCAGCGCTGTCAAGTACTTGGGCAGCTGTAGAAAACATTTCTGACTCTCTAACAGCAATTATTTGCTGCCTGTATCCACAGCCCCAGAGCTGCAGCTTCCAAGTGGGATGTCTTACCCTGGAGAACCTCTGGAGCTGCCAGAGCCTCCAGCAGCCACGGAACCTGCTTGGTGTGAGAGGTGCAAGGGCATGAACAGAGCAGCCACTGCCACTCATGCACTGCAGTCTGGATTCTCCGTGGAAAAGCCATCCCTGCACTCCCTGCTGGCAGCTGAAAATGTGGGTTCACCGTGGAAATGAGGAACAGGACTTACCCCCAGGTCATCCTGCAAGTGGCAGAGCTCCTCACGCAGGTTTCTGAAGGTGGAAAGCACGAGTCTCAGAGATTTATCTGATGTTGCTCTGGTCTAGGAGGGA